TTTCGAATTATCCTAAGCTCATTCATTTTAATAATCTATATTATGTTTTTATTAAAATACAGATTAACAATTTATTGAAAGAACAAAGAATTCCATAGCTTTTAAAACGGGCCCAGGATGACAAATTTTTTATTATTAAAGAACCAATGATTATAAAGAACTCTGTTATATATATAATATTTTTAAAAAAAATTTTTTTTTGTGTTTAAATATTTGATCAAAGGTTTCGTAGATACAAGGTATTATTATATTATTTCTTTAATATCAGAAATTGAGACTAAGTTGTTGAGTATCTGCAAATACAGCCAATACATTATTAATACAATTTTTTATTCATTTTTATCATTGTTAAATATTACTTACCATAAATTATAGCATTCGTAGGTTCAGGGAGATTTTTAAAATTCATAAATCTACTAGTGTAAATCGCCTTTTCATGTGATCGTAAACTAATTTTGGTTTGTTGGTTTGAATTTTCAGGCTTAATTAAATTAAGCCTTTCAGGTTTTCCAAAAGCTAATTCCGCACCAATATAACTACTATCAGGTCGATTTTCTGGATTCGCGTTCCAACATTGTTGTATTAACTTTAGAAGAAATTCTGGCATAGCATCAGTGATTGGTGGACGAAGACCTTGACAAATTTTCATTGCTAAATCAAAGTCATGCGGCTGATCAGAAAATGCTATTTGGCCTGAAGCCATCTCCCACATAAGGATACCGAAACTATATACATCTGAAGCTTTTGTATAAGGCTTCTTAAGTAAAACTTCAGGCGCAATATAGGGTAAAACACCGAATACGCCATCATCCGTTGAATTAACTCGACAAGTTAAACCAAGGTCGCTTATTTTTGGCATAGGTAAATTTACGGGATGAGTAAAGTTATTACTCACTGGTTGGGAGGACTTTGCTGTTTTCTGCTCCGTAGATATATATTCTTCTTACATTCTCATCAATCGCTTTTTTTTCTATTATACGGCTGGAAAAAAAAAGGATCCAAAAACAAACAATTTTGGATAAATAGCAAAGATATCAATGACGACAAACTGGATATTAAAATATTTGTATTGTCATAAATGGCACCACCACCATCCTGGTTGACAAAAAGTATAAATAAAAAACCATTCTAATTTGGGGTAAAAGCAGTCATATATATAAATTTCATTTTAACACAACATTCCAAATTTGGGTGATTATTATTGATGAATCCAAGTTTATGACTCTCAATTTGATGTAAAAAAACTTATTAATTGATTATTATTTTTTTTAAATTATTTTTAATAGATTTATGAAAGATCTTATCTATCTATATACATGACCAACTTGTTGTAGTTGATGTCATATATGTTGTTAAGGATCAAGCCATTAATGTGATACTTACATATATTAAATTATTATATTTTCAATATTATTATTATCACTATTCATTACCAATTAAAATACCATTAATTAAAGTTCCCACAACAACCCACCCGACGAAGCCCGTTATAGTATAAACAATTAGATTTTCTATTCTTAAAAGCTTTCTTTTAGAATCAGTTGATGTGCTAGTTATATAGAAACTTAAATCATCTCTATCATCGTTATCTTTATTTATGTTAAACAGCCAATATAGTATTGCTGTCAGCGCATAATGTCCATCTAATTGGATTGCTGGTAATATGTTTAGTACACAGAGTGCCAGTGAAAATGACACTGTATATCTATTTGAGTTATTTATTTTATCAAATTTTTAATTAGAGATTGTTTGGTTTAATTAATTAGAATATTGGTAAATTAATTACCTCATGATCAATTCTGTTGACATTGGTATCCATAAAGGCACCCATGACCATCTAGATTGAAGAATACCAACTTGTACTATTATCATTATCATTATCACAGTAATTATAATAATAGTTAATTGATACATAAATATAATGTAAATAAATACAACTCAATGTATATATAAACAACAAAAGAAATTAATTACCAATTTCCCATACAACTTGTAAATCACCCATGTATAATAAAACGTTTTCTTGATCGTTATTTTGATTAATCCAAGGCGAGTCTCTATAATATATTCTTAAAGGTCTAGGGAATCCAGCAGGCATATATGGTAGCACACATAATGGTGAATTAGATATTGTTGAACAATCAGAAGCTTTTGTACAACGTTGTTCATTAATATTGACAAGAATTGGTCTTGTTGGTAGAC